TGCGGGCACTGAGTAAATATGTCAAGTAACGGACATTGTTGATTTTAAGTTTTTTATTATTATGGGATAAATTCGAATGGATTGCTATTCAAAATATCATAATACAATAATTGTGGTGTGAATTTCAAATGTAGAATTTTAATACCCTAGACAAAAGTTTAGGTACATTAAGAGAGCTTACTAATTATTTATAGGCTTTTTATAAAAATGTCGTTGGAGGTCCTGTATTGAAAGTAACACTTTCATAAGATTTCAAAATCTACAATACAGTTTACAGATCTTCTAGGGGTTGAATCGCATATCTGGGACATCGCAGAGGATCATAAGAAGGGCTTCTATAGCCAGAATTCTTTCTATGGGTCCCCAAAAAATATTGAAATTAAAACTATGTATAAAGCGATCAAAATATTGAAAAAAGAGTAAAACGACTTTATTAAAAAATAGACTAAATTTCTAAAAAAACTAGATAAAGGTACTACATCATACAACATACCTCTTCTATCAAATCTAATTTTAATACCCTACACAACTATGTTGTCAGGGTATTATAGCTTTGTGCAGCCCCAAAAGTTTGTAACGCCGCGAAATATTGGTCCTAGACCCACCTTTAAGTATACCGATCGTCATATCTCGACTAGCTGAGTCGATCTAGACATGTGTGTCCGTCCGTCTGTCCGTCTGTCCATTATAATTTGTAAACACGATACAGGCCACAGTTATGGACCAATCTTCACGAAATTTTGCATGTAGGATGGGTTCTGGCCAATGAAGACCCCTATTGTTAATATTTAGGGGATGAAATGGACCAAAAACTTTATTTTTGTCGGTTTTTCTGGTCGCTCCAGAGGCCGCAATTATGGCCCAAACACCGCGAATTTTTCCATGGAGAAGGGGATCGGGCCAAAGAATAAAGATCGGTCAATATTTAGCGGGTCAAATGGACCCTAACTTTTGTGTGAAAAATGACAAAATTTGTATTCTATAGCGTATATATTTACCATTGAAGGACATAGACCAGAGAAATTGATAGTATATCCAAGAGGAGTGGTTGACCTTTAAATTAATACCAATTATATTGTCGAAGGTACTCGGATGCGGGAGTTACACTTAAATATTTACAGGTGCTTACGTATTCATATATTATTTAGTAACCTATTACCACACTGGAGGGCGGAAATGTAGCGCTGATCGCTTTGAAATGTTCCATGAGGTTCCAGTTATGGCCAAGGACAACGCCTAAAATGTTAGGTGATGATCAGAAAATATTTTTCGGATGAAATGGACCGAAAACGCAATTATTTGTACTTTTCCAGTCGAAAGCCGAACATCATAACACAACCCACGGTGAAGGGAATCTGGACAAGTAATTAGAGGTGCTGTACTGATTATTATTAATATTTGCTGACCTCTAGCCAGTCAAAAGTGTGCGAATATCGCGAAATATTGCCCAATCTCAGAATATAGAACCACAGAAAGTTAGATTTTCATGGAAGTTGTGTAGGGTATCGTATGGTCGGCCCCGTCCGACTATACTGTTACGCTCGCTGGTTTGTATTGTTTTAATTTTAAACACATCAAAAATTATATCTCCATTTTTTATTTTACTTTAATATTCATAATGTGTACACTTTGTCGTATATCATACGCCTATTATTTCATGTACCAAAATCAGATTCAATGGGTGCCTATCAAGAACAACATTTTTATTTTTCTTCTTAAAATATTGATTTTGGAAAATAAATAGCATTCTTCTAGGCAGCGAATATTATACATTGAAACGCAGCGTATAAGAAATGCCATACATCATGCGCCTAGGTGTCCATATAAAATTAACTCAGATATAATTATTGGTCAATTTTTCATATATTTGCTTAATTTGACTACATGTATTTTTCTAATTACTAAATATTAATGTGAAATTAAAAAAGAAAACCTATTTTTAGGTCTTTGATATTCAATTCGTGTACTCTTAGCAACATAAGTAACATCAGACATCATACGCCTGAGGAATTCAATTTGTGTACTTTTAGCGTATACGCCTAATGTTCCGTTAAAATACAGAAAATATTCTGAGATGTATTTTATTTACCAAGAACTGGAATGAAAAGTTCGGTAGGAAAATGCGGCTTAAATTGCGGGAAAATTACAGCCATTCCGGTTGGAAAAATACAGCTCACACTTTCAATATACCGACATTGATAAGGAGGCTATGTAAAAAATTGTATCCATTTTGAAAATTGCTAACAAATATATTTTCATCCTCCAAAATTGGAAATGACAATTTACAGCCCCTTCAATTCACAGAAAATGTCATACCATAGTCCTACCCCCTTTTTTCAGTTTGGAGTTGAAATCTTTTCTGAAATTCACGAGTCCAAAATCTACAATTAAAAATTTAATCTCCAAAAGAGCCCAAAAATTAGATGTTGAATTATTTGAGGCGGGACATAAATAGATTATCAGGCTCTGTGTACTCAATAATTTTTTGAAAATGTATTGTATATTTTTACCCCAAGGAGAACCTCAAAAATTTTATAGAATATTCAATCTGAATGTTTTCAATAGTTTTGCTTTTAGAAAATAATATTTTTTAAATCCACTCCTGGTTAGAACTTTGACAAATACCAAGCTTAGCTGGGCGTTTGAAAAATATTTGTCATAAAATTCACACCTTACAGGGAGTTCGAAAAAAGTTTTAAAATTATTTCTCTGGACTACGTGATGTATAAGGGTTGTTGTTAATTATACGCTCCTTGGTCAAATTAAAAATAAATATCCTTCTACATGATTTTTTGCATATAGAAAATTTAACACCTTTTATTGTGTTTAAAAAAAGTGTTTTAAAATAATTCCATTAAAAATATTTGTCTGGACTAGGTGTTGTTATTAGTTATACGATCCATGGTCAAAATAAACCATTGTGTATGTAATAGTTTGTAAATAATACGTGAAATCAAAAATAAATGTCACAACTATATTTTTTTGCTTAAATAATTACTTTACGTAAACATTTTTTGTGGCCTAAATAATTACTTTATATTGTTTACAAAATAAAATCTAATATTAATTTTTTGTAAACAAATAATAAAAAAATGTATGATTATTCTTAGAAACGTTCAAACTATTTTGGGAATGTGAATTCCCTCTTCCTAAAAGAAAAACATTTCTATTCACCCCTATTATAAAAATTTGGGAAATCGGGAAGAGCAATTCTTGTAAGATCTTCGAGAAATACATTTTAAAAAGTCCATTCCTTTTTCAGTGTTTGAGCAATATTTTTCAAAAAATTCACAAAGTATAGCGCTTTTGAAAAATTATTGAAATAAACACTTTGGACTAGGTGACGTATAAGTGTTGTTGTTAGTTATACGCTCCTTGATCAAAATAAACATCTGAATTCTTTATTTATTTTTTGGAAGAGGGAATTCTCATCCCACAATTCACAGTCCTTCTTATTTTTAAAAATGTATTTCTTTTAAATCCAATTCTTGTAACATCTTTGAGAAATATGTTAAAAAAAGTCCATACCTTGTTCGGTGTTTGAACAATATATTTTTATGTGACGTATAAACAATTCTGAATATGATAGCTTCCAAATAATACGTTAAATCAAATATAAATATACTTAGAGAATTAATCTTCACCATTAAATAATGTTTTGTTTGCATATACTAGACACTATAATCTAATTTTTAATATATGTAAACATTTAAAAAAATGTCTTAGAAATATTCAAACCTATTATAAACAATTTTGGAAATGTAACTTCCCTCTTTCAAAAAGAATCCTTTGGAAATCCACATTTCCAATCACCTTTATTATTGGAAATTGGGAAATTTACGTCTCCCAATTCACAGTCCGTCTTGCTTTTTAAAAATGTTTTTCCTTTTAAATTCGCACCCTATTGGGGTATTAAAATAATTCCGTAAAAAATATTCCTTTGGTCTAGGCGACGTATAAGTGTTGTTATTAGTTATACGCTCAACAGTTAACATGACTTTGAATCTCTCTCAAAGCTTATTTGTAAACTCGAATTTAATATTTTTTATTATTTTTCCGTGCTTAAAATTAAATAGATTTTTTATTTTATTTTCACATGAGGAACAAATCCCGATCTTTAATAGTTGTCCAATTAGTTTTGGCCTGTTGTTGAATAAATTCACTTAGGTTTGTCAGCTTAAAAACTGTATGAAATGAAAAATTTAAACTCAAATACTTTACAGTTTAAAAAATTGCATTTATATTATTAAAAATTAAAATAGTTATATATGTATTGACATGTAATTAAAGAAAAAATAGTATTTTCAATTTTGACTTAAAACTTTTTTCAATAAACATTAAAAACTAGAAAATATTGTGGACATTTTTCAATAAAAAAAATTAGAATTTGAACTGCAGTGTTATAACAAAAATGTTTACAAATTCTTAAATAATATTTTTAATAAAAAATTGTTTATAAATTAGCTATCATTGGATTTTTTGTGTGAAAATAAATAAATAAATATATGATTTTTTATTGAATTAATATTTTTTCTTTTAATATAAAAAAAAAAAATAATAATAAGTCAATAAATAATATCTTCCAAATCCCCAATACTCCGAAAATTTTATTAAAATTTCCTTCAAATATCATATTTTCAATCTGTTTTATTCCCAATCCTCCATGAGTTTTTTCTTCAGCAGTCTTCCGCTACTTGACTTCTTATTTATTTCAATTCTCCATCCCCATTCATTCCACATCTTCTAATAGGATTACTTGCGGATGATGATATTAAAATGTAATCAAATTAAAGCTCATTGCTACAGCTAAATACCCTGGCAAAATGGGGGGAGAATCACATACACAATCCACACTCCCCCTCCCCCTTTTCCTACCATTTAATTTTTCAATGACCTCCAAAGTTCAAAAAAATAATTAAAACCAGATTTCCTTCCTTTTTTAAATAATAATTCAATTTTTTTTTATTTATGTGTGTATGTGTATTTATTTTTCTTTCCAGTAACAATTCCATAACGCAATGCAATCGTCTGAAGCCGGTGGTGGTGAACTAAGACAGCATAAAACTTCATCTTCAAATTCAACAGCAGCAGCAGCGACATTAAATAAAACCGGCCTCAACGAATCGACAACATCCTTCACTACCAATACACCGAACTCAACAGCACTCAACAACGACACACCGAGCAAGAATCCCTTCAAGCAACATCTACAGACACAGCAGCAACAGCAGAATGGCAGCAGCGGCAGCAACAACACGGACGGCCTTAATGCCAGCGAGCGGGGTAGTGGATATGGTGGGATATTGGGTGTGGGAGCCACCACTCCAGCGGATCCCAAAATGACCTCACCACCAGGTGGCGGGAGATCTGGAGGCGCTGGACCACCCATACCACCACCAGATCATCATCGACAAGAAAATTATAGAGCTGCCGGGTCCTGGGCCGCCTTTAAAAATTGGATGATCGGATGGAGGGGTTCGTCACGTTTGGTATTGGTTATTGTGGCCATAGCCTTGCTGCTGGACAATATGTTGCTGACAACTGTTGGTAAGTCAGGAGATTTCGTATTTCAGATTATGATAATGTTCTACAAAGCCCAGGAGTCAAGGGTTCATTGTGTTTCAAAGAGCCAACAAATGTTAACAATCATTGTTTCCCCTTGGGGCTTTCATAAATAACCCACCACAATTACCACAAGGCGGCAGCAAAGCTAGATAAGCTGTCAGGAAGCACTTAAGTTAATGAGCTAAAATAATGGTTGTCAATGGTAATGAAGTGGCATGGTAATGGCACAGTGTTATGAATAAGACAAAAAATCAAAGAATTGATTATTTAAACCAGGCTGAAATGAAGGAAACATTTATTCAGTTGGGCTGAATTGAAGATTTCCCATGCAGACCTTAATTCAGCTGGGCTGAATTGAAGATTTCCTATAGAAACCTTAATTCAGCTGGGCTGAATTAAAGATTTCCTATAGAAACCTTAATTCAGCTGGGCTGAATTGAAGATTTCCTATGGAAACACTAATTTAGCTGGGCTGAATTGAAGCTTACCAATGGAAACCTTAATTCAGCTGGGCTGAATTGAAGATTTCCTATGGAAACCTTAATTCAGCTGGGCTGAAATGAAGATTTCCTATGGAAACCTTAATTCAGCTGGGCTGAAATGAAGATTTCCTATGGAAACCTTAATTCAGCTGGGCTGAATTGAAGATATCCTATGGAAACCTTAATTCAGCTAGGCTGAATTGAAGATTTCCTATGGAAACCTTAATTCAGCTGGGCTGAATTGAAGATTTCCTATGGAAACCTTAATTCAGCTGGGCTGAATTGAAGATTTCCTATGGAAACCTTAATTCAGCTGGGCTGAATTGCAGATTTAATGGCGGAAAATTAATTCAGCTAAGCTGAATTGATGATTTCATATCGTAAACCTAATTCAGCTAAGCTGAATTGTAGATTTCATATCGTAAACCCAATTCAGATGAGCTGAATTGTAGATTTCATATCGGAAACCTAATTCAGTTAAGCTGCATTGCAGATTTCATGTTGGAAACCTAATTCAGCTAGGCTGAATTGCAGATTTGATGTCGGAAACCCAATTCAGCTAAGCTAAATTGTAGATTTGATGTAGAAAACCTAATTCAGCTTAGCTGAATTGTAGATTTCATGTCGGAAATCTAATTTTGCGTAGCTGAATAGCATATTTCATATTGGATGCCTAATTCAGCTATGCTGAATTGTAGATTGAATGTCGGAAACCTAATTCAGCTAAGCTGATTTGTAGATTTCATGTCGGAAATCTAATTCAGCTAAGCTGAATTGCAGATTTCAGGGTGGAAACTTAATTCAGCTAGGCTGAATTGCAGATTTATTACCAAAATCTCCAATTGTAAATTGATTTACACCCCTTATCTGTTCTTAAGACAAATTTATTGCTTTATTATACAAAAACATAAGAGGAACCCCTTAAACTACTAATCTAGTCAATATAGTCCCACCCTGCCCAATCCTCTTTCACACCTTTTAAGATAAAAGGTATCATGACAAACCATCAAATGAAATTAATTTTCCAAATGAATGGAAAATAAAGGGCAAAAATATGCACGCATCCAATTGGAATAATATGAATAAATTGTGCTACACACACACGCACACATACACATCTAGATATCCTTCCCACATAACATAAAACATATTTATGCTGATAGCTGTGATTTGATAGCAAAAGAAAAGGGAAATGCTTTTAGCCACCCCTTGGCCTCCGCATGCCACGGCTACAGGTATGCCGCACAGCCAAGAGCAAAACAAATGTTTAACAAGACATTTCACACTTGATCCTGACACAAAAGTTGATTATCCTTACAATAGTCCTGCCTTGCTTCGGTAAGCATATCAAGCAGCAGATATGCGGGGTCAGGGGAGGTTACGTTACGTTAGATTTATCTTTAATGTGGCCACTTAAGGTAAAAGTTTTTGTTATACTTGGTGATGGATTTCCTGGCCATGATAAATGGGAGAATTATAAAGGGTAGGAGAGAGATGGGACAATTCTCAAAGGAAGGAGGATTTTCAGGGATTTCTATTTTTTTTTGTGTTTTTCCTAGCTTTGAATGACTACCATTTCCTTCTTCGTACTTTTCTTCTATGACTTCTTTGTGCATTTAAGTTTCAACAAGTTGTTGGCGAAGTAGTTTTCCTTCCTCCTTGACTTCTTTTTGTCGCCATACTGTTGCTTTGAATAGAAGTCGGAATAAAGGAAAATGCCGAAGAACTACTTCGAAATCCTCATACACTTACCGAAGACTTTGTGTCATGTGCAAGTATTTGAAGTTTTTCTTTTTCCCATGCAATTGTCTGTGACAAATGAAAAGTAAACGAAGATGTGCGACAATTCAAAAGGATCAATACGAAGGGAATAGGATTTTTAAATGATTTTCTCTTACATAAAATAATTATATAAGTATTTTTTTCAGCTGAATTAAGGTTTCCATTGGAATTCTTCAATTTAGCATAGCTAAATTAAGTTTCCACATGAAATCGGCAATTCTACTTAGCTGAATTAGGTTTCCGATATGAAATCTGGAATTCAGCATAGCTGAATTAGATTTCCGACCTGGAATCTGCAATTCAACTTAGCTGAATTAGGTTTTCTATATGGAATTTTCAATTTAGCTTAGCTGAATTAGATTTCCGATATGAAATCTGCAATTCAGCTTAGCTGAATTAGATTTCCGATATGAAATCTGCAATTCAGCTTAGCTGAATTAGGTTTCTGACATGAAATCTGCAATTCTGCTAAGCTGAATTAGATTTCTGACATGAAATCTGCAATTCTGCTAAGCTGAATTAGATTTCTGACATGAAATCTGCAATTCAGCCCAGCTGAATTAGGTTTCCGACATGAAACCTGAAATTCAGCTTAGCTAAATTAGGTTTCTGACATGGAATCTGCAATTCAGCTCAGCTGAATTACGTTTCCGACATGAAATCTTCAATTTAACTTAGCTGAATTAGGTTTCCGACATGAACTCTTCATTTTAGCTTAGCTGAATTAGGTTTCCGACATGAAACCTACAATTCAGGTCTGCTGAATTATGTTTCCGATACGAAATCTGCAATTCAGTTTAGCTGAATTAGGTTTTCGACATGAAATTTGCAATTCAGCTTAGCTGAATAAAGTTTCCAACATGAAATCTACAATTCAGCTTAGCTGAATGAGGGTTTCCTCTAGGTAAGCTTCTATTCAGCTAAGCTAAATCAATCTAATTGCTACCACCTCTTTAATCTCTTCCAACCAATTAATTAATAGCCGCAATCAAATTAATTGAATTGCCATTAAGAATGTGTTGTCAAGCAAGCAATCAATTTCATTCTATTATTATTTTGTTAACTGTCAATTTATTTGTTGTTGTTGCTTTTTCACTCTCCCTCTCACCTCTTTTCTCTGTTGACTCAAATCAAAGCCCACATTCATTGGCGTTGGGTTTGTGGCTATGCGTTCGACGCATAGCAATTTTAAGCGTCAATACAACTAATCAATTCTTAAGTGACACTTGTCTGCCACACGCATCGGTCCATGCCTAGGCAAGTGCGGATTTTTAATAGCCTCAAGTGGAGTCAGTTATCCAGCCACCTACATTGGTCATAGTTGGACATTTGAAAGGCCTACAAAAATCAATTAAATTTAGCACTTGAATCTTTTTTTCACTGTTCAGAATGATTGGAAGGTGGGTGGTGAATTCCGATAATGGAAATTTCGAAAATTTTCTAAAAAAACCTGCATGAAAATATTAATCTCTCGAATGAATGTTAACCTTTGCCCTTGACTTGGCTTACGACACAACAACGAAGTTCAATAGAATATAAATACGCAATAAAACAAAGCCAAGAGCGGTGATACCCACTCTGCAGAAAATTAATTGTATAATTATTATACACACGTCAACACATGTGTGTGGTATAGATTATTCAGCTAAGAGCTGAATAAGGTAGTTCATAACAAAATTACGTTAGCTGAATATGGGTTTCTATAGGAAATCTGCAATTCCGCGCAGATGAATGAGGTTTTCCATAAGAAATCTGCAATTCAGCTTAGCTGAATAAGGTTTTCCACAGAAAAACTGCAATTCAGCTTAGCTGAATTAGGTTTTCCTTTCGAAATCTTCAATTCAGCTTAGCTGAATAAAGTTTTCTACAGAAAATATGAAATTCAACTTAGCTGAATAAGGTTTTCTACAGGAAATCAGCAATTCTGCTTAGCTGAATAAGGGTTTCAGTAAGAAATATTTAATTCAGCTTAGCTGAATAAGGTTTTTCGAAGGGTTTCCCTAGGAAAACTGCAATTCAGCTTAGCTGAATAAGGTTTCCCTAGAAAATCTGCAATTCAGCTTAGCTGAATAAGGGTTCCCATAAGAAATCTGCAATTCAGCTTAGATGAATAAGTTCTCTTACATGAACTCTACAATTCAGCTTAGCTGAATAAGGTTTCCCATAGGAAATCTGCAATTCAGCTTAGCTGAAGAAGGTTTCCCTAGAAAATCTGCAATTCAGCTTAGCTGAATAAGGTTTCCCATAAGAAATCTGCAATTCAGCTTAGATGAATAAGTTCTCTTACATGAACTCTACAATTCAGCTTAGCTGAATAAGGATTCCCATAGGAAATCTGCAATTCAGCTTAGCTGAAGAAGGTTTTCCATACAAAATCTGCAATTCAGCTTAGCTGAAGAAGGTTTTCCATACAAAATCTGTAATTCAGCTTAGCTGAATAAGGGTTTCCATAGGAAATCTGTAATTCAGCTTAGCTGAATTGCTCCCTTATGGGTTAATACACTTAGCTGAATAAGGTTTCCCATAGGAAATCTGCAATTCAGCTTTGGTGAAGAAGTTTTCCCTTGGGAAATCTGCAATTCAGCTTAGCTGAATAAGAAAAATCGACAATTCAGCTTAGCTGAATTAGGTTTTCCACATGAAATCGCAATTCAGCTTAGCTGAATAATGTTTTCCGTAGGAAATCTGCAATTCAGATTAGCTGAATTGAGGTTTCCA